CGGAACGTAACGTACGTACGACCTACTACTACTACTCTACTACTACGTACTACTACTCGTACGTAGTAGTAGTAGTAAGTAAGAAGAGAGAGTACGACACTACTACTACTACTCTCTCTCTCTCTCTCTACTCTCTCTCTCTCTCTCTCTCTCTCTCTCTCTCTCTCTCTCTCTCTCTCTCTCTCTTACTAGAATCATGGTGTGCCTTACCCACCCAACTCTCTTTCAAACTATACCTTTTTTAAAAAAAGAAGAGGGTGGGGGTATAAGCCCTCTCCGTATAACCACATCTCTTGTTATAACTAATCACTACATGGAAGAGTTGGGGGGGGCAACCCTTTTCCCCCTTGTCCATCAATATGGGGAAGAAAGAAATCTTAAAAGACGAGGCAAAAGAAGGTTCGATCGTTTATTTTGAGAAAAAAGTTCTTTCTCTGACAAGAGATAGAGAGCCAGAGAAACGGAGTGAAGTAAAGGAAGACTAGAATCAGGAAATCAAGGCGGAATTCAATTGGAAACCATAATGCAGGAGCATACCCACTAGGTTACAAAGTTACCAATGCTATGCTTTCCACAATCATAATGCAAATCCCTATAAAGGGGGAATTTGATACCGTTCATTGTTTGTTTTCTTTCTTAGTTTCTTCTTTGCTACAATGAAAGGCAAGCATGAAATTTGGCATAACATAATTATTAGAAATTCCATATGAATTGGATAAATTTCCTAAACATGGACACTCTCATTTAAAGTTCCATAAAAAATAATGATTCTCTCTAGTTTCAAAGCATTTCATTGAGTTTACAACTCTTTTCCTTGGCAGTTATTTGTAACGTTCATCTATACTTTTGATGTTTATTTGGTTTAAAAGATCATTCATGCAGCACACAACATTAGCAACTATTTGTCTATATATGTGAATGTCTATAAATGTACACATACAAACACACATAGACACATTCAAAAGCGGGAGAAAGAAAAGTTTGCTTCAGGAATCACCAAGGAAGCTGTTTTGAGGATGACCAGTGTCCATGGGTATAGGATTTCTCCAGATAAGTTGCAATGTCCATGAGTTGCATCAATTTCTTCATTGATGAAATGATATTTATAAGAAGTGTTCAGCCATTCGGTATTTTTAGTCCAATATCGGACAAGAATTTCAGGTTAAAAACAAATTAGAAAAGAAATAAAAAACTGGACGTCAAGCAATTCAAAGCCCTCTTGATGCATTTTGTTTCTAGAAAATTTCCTATACCCATATAACGCATAGCAATTGAGATATTAAGTGGGTAGAAATGCAGTCCTATATGGCTAGCCTTTATCATCATCCACACCTTATCCCAACTATTTGGGTTTGGCTATACGAATCCTAGTCCATCACTTTTCTCGATCAAGGGCCATTCCCAAGTCAGACCATAAGTCACCATGTCTTCTCTCACTATTTCCATCCATGTCCTCTGAGGCCTTCTTCCTGCCCTTTTAGAGCTTTCTACCTGAATCAAAGCGTCCTTCCTAACCAATGTTGTTCTAGGTTGATTGCGCACATAACTAGAGCATTTAAGTCTACTTTCCCTCATTTATCACCTATTGAAACAACCTTTAAGTTCCATCGAATGTTCATTCCGAATTCTATTCTTCCTTGTCATGCCACTCATCCATCTCAACATCCTCATCTTAGGTATACTCATTCTATTGATATGGTGTTACTTGACTGCCCAACATTCCATCCCATAAAGCGTGGCTGGTCTTACAGCGTCCTATCGAACTTCCCTTTCAGTTTCATTGGTATGCAACAATAATATAAGATTCTAGAAGCACATCTCCACTTTGTCCACCCGATTCTAATTCTATGAGCAACATTTTACTCAAACTCTCATTTCTCATGGATAATTGACTCAAGATATCGAAAATAATCTCTTTTAGGTACTTCTTGGCCAAAAATCTTAACCAATTCAATGTTTTTGCTCTTATTGTTACTAAACTTGCATTCTATATATTCTATGTTAGTCTGGCTAAATTTAAAACCTCAAGATTCTAAGAAAACATCTATATGGAATTATATGATCCACTTTTGTAAGTTATTGAATGTTTGTTTCTAAATAGTAGGTGTATGCTATTGTTAGAGAGTAGAATTATTCAATAATGCAATATTATCATTTGTTGTTGCTCCCATGTCCTCTTTGATATTTATCCGTAGGATCAAACACAAATTCCTTCTTTTAGTTGTAGGATCAAATAAAAATTCCAAAATCAAGCACCAAAACACCAGTCCAAAATTCCCAACAGTGCACACAATAGAAAAGGCTAGAATAAAGTTGACTATTAGCTTCCATTAGAAGAAAAGATATCCCCCTGGGAAGGACAAAACACAATGAGAAGGCCTACCAACAACATCAGAGTAACAGAAAGGGTAAGATACTTACTTCGCCCCTAAGTTGATGAGTGGGTCACATTTACTCTTGGTTCTATTCCAGATTGTCACGTTGCACCTTTTTGACATACAATGCACCTGATTAAATTCCTCAACCATACACAAAATGAACATAGAGATGATAATTGCAGTCCAATAGTTTACAATATACTATTTCAGGAATGTCAAGGTTAACAAATAAGGGAAATGGAAAAACCAGCCATGAAGACAAGAAAAGTCAGTCAAGTAGACAGCTAATAACACTATGCCATAACAAATGTGAAACTATTAGTTGGATGCAAGGATAGTAAAAACCTATTCCGCCTTGCCAAAGATCAAAGCATAAAAATAAGCTCACTTGGAGCAGTAACCAAATGATAACATCATACTCCACTTGGAACAAATTATGTGTTATTCATGGATCCCTGAAATTCATAACCAGAAGCTGAAAGCTTGATTATCATTCGAATATAACAAATAGCAATACAATTTAAACAAGAAGAAAGATAAGGAGAGTCTTCGAAGTGGCACATTCATTTAGAGGGAATGCCAAGAGTTCAAATATAAAACTTTGTGACTTTTCAGTTCTTTCTTACATGATGGATTCCATTAAATCTGATAGAGTAGCATTACAGACCATTGCTGCATCATACCACTATGTTTCTTTAAGAATGAGATTATTTATTTATTTTTATTTCTTGAGAAAGCTTGACTGTAATGTATATTAATATTTAACCAAATTATAAAAAGCCCTCCTCCCCCCCGCCCCTTGCTGGCAACCAACAGGCTGGGTGCTCAGAAGGCATGGGCAGCAAAGAGAGAGAAGAAAAGCAGGCCAGGAAGGAAGAGAGAGAATGAGAAGAGGTATATAGTGGCCCACATCTTGCGTGCTTGGAAAAGAACTCCACACTTTACAAAAACTGGCTACCCTCACTGAGGGAGCTCAAGCACAAAAAACAGGTGAGGCCACCGGTGACAAAAGTAGCCTATAAGAAATAGACTAAAATGCCTGTAAGGGGAGGACTAGAACAAAGAAAATAGACAAGGGGGGTTGTGGGGGGGAGGTTAGAGAGAAAAGAAAAGACAGAGAAGGGGGAGAAAGATCAGTGTAGAGAGTAGGAAGAGGTGTATGCAAACATTCAGGGCTGCAGACACTAAATGAATAGCCGGAGGGTCAAGGAAGCGAAGAGTGAGTTGCTGAACCTCCGCCTATCATTACACCCTAGCCAGACAATCAGCATGGTGGTTGGTCACCCTCAGAACTTGGCGACAAGTGACCAGGCGGTTCTTGCAAAGCACATAGATGTGATCAAAGTAGTCAGCAAGTCTCCATGGAGGTTGGTCATGCCCTCACAACCCATGAAATGACATTCCTAGCGTCCCCTTCCATTGTCAAGGATCCCACTCCAGCAAGGATAGGATTTGAGCACTTAGACCCTTAGCATGGCGACAGACTCGGCAGTAGTGTAGTTGGAGTGTCCCAGGTAACCTGAAAAAGAGAGGATTTCCCCTTCAGGACTAGCCAAGCTGCACCTGGGTTACCAAGAGAGCAACCATCAATGTTGATAAAGAAGCCTATGGGTCGAGGGACCAAGAAGGCCTGGCTATGAGAGCTCTTGGGACGAAGTGCACAGTGTTGTGCCAATTCATCCTAAAGTCCTCTGAGGTTAGGCTTTTATTGTGGGTTAGAAACTTAACCCAAGAGATGGTGTCAACTGTTATTTGTTTGAACAGGACTAGGGGCAGCCGACAAATGTCTCGAAAGATCCTGGCATGCCTTCCAAAGCCCTCAAAGCAGAGCAAAATATGCGGCAGACCATAGGCAACGACCTAATATGGGAATGGGTGGGAACATCCAAGCAGTCAGAAGTTGCCCTACCAACAAGGTCCCAAACACCCCAGATGCCCCTAGATACTCCCAATGTCTCTTTGACCTCCCACTGGCAATGGCTTCTACCCCAGTTAGCCCTCACTTCTGCAGTGTAGGCCTAGGAAGTTCGATATCTATGGCAACCACATCGGGTTGAAACAAGGCCCACATTGCATTTTCCTTGAGGTGACTACTTAGGCCCCTAATATTCTTAAGTAAGATCTTCATTTTGGAGAGTTAGAAAGTTGTGTAATTTCACTCCAAGCACTAGGATGGGGAGATGGGTCCATTAGAGATTAAGGTAAAGAGTGTTCGTTGGTCATAACTAACTTTGCTGACTAGGTTAATTAGCTCCCTAGTTCCCTTGCTGACTTTGGGAGTGGCCTTTACCTAGCTTGTCTTGCACTCTCCCTAAGTACCCTCGTGAATCGGATATCTCGCCATCGTAGATGAATCCCATGTCTCAAGGCGTGTTGTCCATGTTTGGCTTGCTTTCTGCCGATCCTTGCTATTTCTTGGGGTTAATGTTACTATGAACTAGATGTTGGAGTTTAAACCCATCCTCTTCTAGGTTCCTGTGGGTGAGTATTGATAGGCATCGAAGGAGAAGCCCGTAACGAAGTCTGTGAAGGTTGGAAGCTAGATAGACATGTAAATGGAGGTGTCCACAGCTGCTCGGATTGTTGGGCCTAGAGGTGGGGTGGGTAAACAGTGTGTTACGGAAGTTGAGGTGGGGATGGGGGAATGTTTGTGAAGTATTAGAGAGGATGGAGGAAAGGGGATGGAAGTCCACCTAAAGAAGGGAAGGCATTCAGTGCCAATCTCATTTCGAGGGGGAGAGTGACTAGGTTGTTCAACTCTGAGTTGGGTTAGTATTGCTCTAAAGTTTGAGGGAGGGCAGTCCCGAAATAGGCATCTTGGGGTGCAAGGGGGAATGCAACTTTTGAGAAAACAAAGAGAGGCGCCTGCTGCAGGATAGATGAACAAAAGGGTGGGATAGCAGAGGGAAGCTTGGAAAATGGATATATTGACCCTGAAGTGGATTGGTGGTCTATGAGTGGAAAGAGGAATGCGTGATCCAAAACTTAGTGTAGGCCTCAAGTTAGGCAAGAAGATTGCGTTTAGGATAGGAGGAGGGAGTGAAGCTAGAGAGGGTGGGGTGTGTGGAACAGGTGGAGGTCGAGAATAGCAGAATCTCGATGGGCGGATAGGGCATTGCTTTTGTTTGCGCAGCATTATGGAAGAGGTGGTTGGGTCTGGTAAAGAGGCAGAAGAAGCCAAGAAGACAACGGGGGTGGGAGGCTTGCTGAGCAGTAAGGGTGGCGTTAGATAAGGAGCAAGGATAGCCATAGATAACGGGAGGTTTTATATGAAAGGCCCTTCGATTGCCACAGGGAGGTAGAACTGAGCTAGGGCAATTGGATGTGGTTCATACCTGGGTTATGATAGTAAGGAGGATGTGGAGGCTAGAGAGCATTGAAGTGGATCCTTCCTCTGAGAGGGGAGGGGATGTGGAGGCTATACAATAACAAGCTAACGGAACAGGGAGGAGAAAAAGAGAAGTAGTGATGATTAGCAGAGTTCAGGGATGGCCATTGAAGCATTCACAACATATTGGTCTGAAAATTTTATTCCCACAAACTATCGGAAGAAAATGTTTTAGGGATGTTTAGTGTTTGGAAGTTTCTTGCAACTACCCATGAAATGCTTAGAGTGCAAGCCTTTATCTTCTTTGTTGATTTCGTCGGTTTTGAAGCTAAGTCTGAATGGGAATTTTATAATAATATTTTTCCATGATAGATATTGATTAAGATGTTCAATATTCAATTATTCCATCTATCAATTCCGAGTTCCAATATCCAATTCTTGTTTCTAAGAGAAAATTACTTTCATGTAGATTTTTCTACACAAAGAGCGAATAGAACCAACCTGTTTGAATATTGGACATATGGAAACTGAGAAAATAAATTAATCATACCTAGCAAGAAATAGACTGAAAGGAGGGGCTATGTGGAATTCAAGGTAGTGAATTAAAAAAAAATTCCTTTTCTTTTATTCAATATACCTAAATTCCACTTATATGGGCCACTATACATTGCCGTAAATCAAATTAAAACCCTAGATGCAATTAGGATCTTTACTTTTACTGCCAAAGTAAATAAAAAAATATCCAGGAGCAATAACCAATCTTCCACTATAGTTTTGAGTATAAAATATGTTCCTGAAAATTCACAGAAAATTATAAAATATAACTGAAAAATATATAAATCAACTGGGAAGACATTTGACGCCTAGAGTTACCCCCCACAGGGCTTCGTACACTCAACACCTGATTCTCAAATCAATGACGTACTTCTAATCATTTAGATCTTGCTGGAAGTTATGAGATAGGGAAGCTTTTTAGGCAATACCTTCACATCTAAGGCCTTAGAGAGCATAGGAATCTATATAGGGTTTGCAGGAACCCTATGGGATCAAATTCAGGGTTAGGCTTGAGGGTTCATTTCCCTTTTTCCTGGTTGTAATTCTCTTCTTCAAAAACAGCAAAAACCCTAAACTTGGGTTTCACGTACCTCCTCTCTTTCTTTCTTTTTGAGTGGCATAGCCTTATGGAGCATAGGGGAGAGAGAGGCATGACTTAAACTTGAGAGAGAGAAAGAGAACATTTGGGGAGTGGAGGAAAAGAGAGAGAGAGAGATCTTTTCTTGTGCGTGAGAGAGAGAGATCTTGTAATGAGAGAGAGGTTCAAAGATTGTTTAAATAGAAACAAATATATCTCCCACTTGGAATAGGATTCCGTCTAGTTATGCCTTATCTAATTTTCTAACTTGACTATTAAAATATTAGAAAATCTATGGGGTGCGAGAGATTAAATCTGAGTCATCAATCTCACAAATCAGCCATCATAATTTTGGGTGCAAATTAGGAGCCTTATCGCCTTATAATTTGGCCCAAGTCCAATTCAATTTAAAATTGAATTATAACCACGTTTATCATTATCTAGATCCTCCAAAATATTTAGGAAGTCAAAGATAGTATTTAAAAAAGAAAAAAAACTGACTTGGATACGAATTAAAAATTTTTCAGTTTTAAAAATATTCCCTAACTAACTAAAAGTTCAATTCTATTTAAAATTGAATTGTAACCACTTTTAGCAATATCTAGATCTTCCAAAATCTATAGGAAGCCAAAGATAATCTTTTAAAATAAAAAACAAAACTCCCACTTGGATAGAAATTGAATCTTTTCAATTTTTAAAAAGACTCCCTCATCATTATCATCATCACCATCATCATCATTATAGCCTTTTTTCAATTAATTGGGGTCGGCTACAAGAATCCTGGTCCTCCATTCTGCTCTATTAAAGGTCATACCCTCAGTGAGGCCATAAGTCCCCATATCTTTTCGAACTACTTTCATCCACATCCTTTTGGGCCTACCCCTTGCCCTTTTCAATTCTTCCACTTGAACTGACTCGTACCTCCTAACAGGCGTTGTATTGGGTTGGCGCCACACATGGCCAGCCCACCTAAGTCTACTCTCTCTCATCTTATCGCCTATTAGTGCCATACCTACATTTTTCCAAATGAATTCATTTCGAATGCTATCCCTTCTTGTCTTGCCACTCATCCATCTCAACATCTTCATCTCTTTAAAAAGAATCCCTAACTAACTAAAATTATTAACTAAAAGAGGCACATAAACAAAAGGAATAATGGGGCATGCTGCCACCCTAAGGACATCATGTGGGCTCTGCAAGGCCACATGCCCCACTCCTAGGTGGCACACACATGTGGGGGCTTGACCCTAGGTCCCCACATGTGCCCTTTAAAGTTCTAAAATTTTCAAAAATACTCTTTTTAATGAAAGCTCTCTATCAAAAATACCCATTGGTATTAGTCCACTGTAGTGCATATTTACTATAAAATATCTTTTTTACAAGCTCTCTAGGCCTTTAAAGGCCACAAAACCCAATGACTTCACCCTATTTTACAAAATAATAATAGCAAACATAAGTTCTCTTCAGTGTTTTAAAATACGCTCGCATCATGCGGGATGCGCTGCATCCGCATAAAAAACAGGCGCATATGCGCTTTTGACAGATGCGGCCGCATATGCGTCGCATCAGGCCGCATCGTAGCTGTATCCCGCATAGGCCGCATCGCACCACATCCCATTGCTACAGTGTCAGCAGAATTGTTTTTGTTTTGCCCCTCCAATGGTCTTTTTGACCATCCAAATGTTAGGAAAACTGTTTGGGGGGGTATTAGGGGCCCTAAACAAAGATTTTTAGCCACTTTTGTGGCTTTTTTTGCATCTAATCGAGGTAAAAAAAAATTAGGCGGAATTTTTTTTTTCATCAAAATCTTTGATTTGGCGGTTGTTTGATACTTGGATGTTCATTGGATGCCTTTGATTGTTGATTTGAAGATGTTAGGGTGAATTTGTGATAAAAAATCAGGGGTTTCAGAGGTCGTAAAGAAATCGAGCAGTACTTCACAAAGTCAGTAAAATTTTTTCCTTCTTGTATAATATTACTATTATACATATTTTTGGGGGAATGTCTTCTTCCCAATCTTTTAGTAATAAGGATCCGGCTTGAAAATATGCTAAACAAAAAAATCCCAAAGATAGAAATTGTGTGATATGCTTGCTCTATGGAAATACTTATATAAGTGGATAACTGGATACAAAATCTCCGACAGCTAATAGTTTTGAAGTTAATCATTAAACTAAAATACCTACTATTACATATATCACATTCATATATTTTTCTATGCATTAACTTATTTTTTAAAAAAAATTAAAATTTTTTACATTTATTGATCGCATCATCGCGATGCTCCTGCATCCGGGCCGCATCGCCGCATCGGCCCCCCACCACATCAGGGTCGCATCCCACATTTTAAAACACTGGTTCTTTCTCAAAAATTATACAAGCCTTAGGATAGAAAAAAGCCCTTAATGTACTACCTCATTTCACGACGTCCCAAAAAATGGATCAAATTTTACTAATTCAAAATTTCCTTATAGATAACCAAAACCAGGAGCTTCCATCTCAAGAATATTATGCGAAAAGAAATTCAATGTCAATAAAAAATAATGAAAGGATTCCATTTCATGTTTTAAGTAACAGAAGAAATCAAAAGGACAACAACAGCAGCCTGGTGTTGCAAAGTTGGGATAGGAAAATAAAATAATGATCGAGATAGCGGATGCAAAGCTATGGTGTGGGTCGTTTGTTTTATATTTCTAATTTCTATAAATTCGAAATTTAAATTTCTGATTTTATTGTTGGTTTCAGTTTGCTGTGTGGAGTAAATCAAACAAGCAGATAGGGTGGACACCTTGCATTTATCTAAAGGTGAAGAATGGACAGAAGGTGAATTGAACTATCACAGGAGCATATCAAAATTAGAGAGGTAATATGGAAATTTGTGTGGTATCTCCAGACCATATCACTGATAAGATCACAAAGATAGGATACGGACAACAAATCCAGTAGAGACTGGCTTTCTTGCTCAGTCCAACAAATATAATAAGTTCTCTTGAGACACTGGGTCTATGATTTCTTATTTCTTATCAATTTACAATGTTCAGAAGGTCCATCTCATCTGCTCTTCCTACCCAATACAATTACCAGAGATAATTATACAAACTATGAAGCATACAATCATGCTAGCGCTGACTGTGCAAAGAACAAAATGATTATAATATTGCTGTGTTACAAAAGTGACCAAACAAAACACTGTAACATACCCAGCTTTTATCAGGTTTTGTGCCATCGGAGAGCCCATAATGCCGAGTCCCAGAAAACCAATACGTGTTGGAACTTCTTGTTGCCCTGCAGAGTTCAAGCAATAAGTAGTTATCAATAAACTTGAGGAAGGTTGTCTTCATTAAAAGGATGCCATATGGCCACAACTAATATTGATTTGAGTAAAATTGGCAAATTTAGCAATTGTTTATGAGTAAGCCATGTAGCATGAAAATCAAATGTCCACCAAAAGTAAATGCAGCAAACAGACAAGAGTCCATTAAGATGTTCCCATAAGGATATCTTGATGGAGAAAGTATCTCCACCACAACCATGAGAAGTATGTCAGAGTATCTGCAAACCATGTACCTGAAATTACTTTGTAGAAGTCGGCTGCTAAAAATTGTTGCTAGATGCAGGAACGTGCTTGCAATCAAGGCAGGCAATAATCAAGGATATTGGGTAGTCTTTTTGTTTTTGGTAATTCAGTCGGGAAGGGGTCCCCTACCCGCTACAGGAAAGGAACTCAAGTTGTTATGTTATAGCACTGACCACTCTAACCACATGTCCCTTTGTCCATTCCTCAATATTGGGTAGTCTTGTCCTCTCAAAAGCGAACAGAAGATTAAAAAAAAAGAAGGTCAAATCCATTATTTGGTAACTAACTACATTAAAAATTTTAGTATCCTTTCTGTCCCATAGCAGGACTTGATTGAGATGCGTGAGTGGTTTCTTGCTTTTTATGGGAGTTCGGTTATACATGATAACAGCAGCATACAACCCACCGTCTGCCGCTATTCAGTCATTACTCAAAAGTGGGACAATATCTTACAGGCAGCAGCATTTTGCATACCTGCATCTTAAACATCCATCATGATTGACTGACAACTAAGCAGCTATGGTTAACTGGGTAACCATCCATCAAGCATCATGCACAGTTAAGATGCAGCAGGCACATAAATTGTCTTGAATAAAATAGAATCCTGAAAATGTTTTGCCGTCAATGAAACAAAACGATGCCTCCAAGGATCTGAGGGGAATGAAACGATATGGGCTCACCAAGAGATCTCCCCATTACAAGAGTGATCTTCTCCTCCCAATCAAATGAGAGCAGAAAATTATTACATATTACATATGCCATAATTGGCCTCATGATTTTTATTCCAAGTGGTACAATGACCAACAACTACCTTTTAATTTGGGATAACCAGAATCTCATTAATGAGATAGTATAATAGATTTAAAATTGAGAGAGAGAGAGAGAGAGAAAGAGAGAGAACAGCCAATTCCCTCAATCATCAACAGAGGAACATGAAGTTAAATATCTATAAATTAAACATGTGTACTGTAATTACATATACATGACAAACAATGCATAAAATGTATATAAGTGTAAAATTTATAAACATCTCAAGCCCACAGGAAAATAGAGCATCTGAAGATGGGAAGCACTTTCTTCACCAAGTGCCTGCGTGGGAGTCCCTGAGCAGTAACAACTTGAGGCAAGACCTGGAATAGAACTAAATAAATGACAGGCAACCTCAGTACGCATCACTGAATAGAAATTGGAAGTTGTATAGGAAATTCTGGCCCTCAAAGGAATTTTGGGCCAAATGTGTCCTTACTTTCATAAAGTCCATTTTTTAGGCTGCCTAGAGATCTTGGCACTTATTGTCCTTTTTTTTGTTTTGAAACGTTGACAACATATAAATATAGTAATATTTACAGCGTTTTCGCCAGCAATGTTTAGCAGGCAGCCCACATTCTGGTTTCTCCATACAAAATTTCTAAGGTAAGCGTCAAAAAATGGCAAGAAGGCAATGATGCGTCTGGTGCTCAACTAATGGTGCAAAAAACAGCGGGTGGAGAGAGATGAAAGAAAAAGCGGGGGAAGAGTAAAGGAGAAAGGGAATGAGAATAAGGACAGGCAGCCATACTGGGTGCTCTGTTCAAAAATTTCAAGGTAAACATAAAAAATGGCAAGTAGGCAACCCACAAGCTGGTTGTTCAACTACCTCGGGATGCATCTTAATCCAACTAATTAATAAACGTGTTTTGGTGTGTATTTCTATTGAGTAAGTAAATATGTTAGTTTGACTGAGAGTAAGGACAGGCAGCCCACACACTAGGTGTTCTGCACAAAATATCTCAAGGTAAACATCAAACAACCCACACGTTGGGTGCTAAACTACCTTGGGATGTATCTAGATCCAACTAATCACTAGATGAGTTTTGGTGTGTATCTCTATTGAGTAAATAAATATGTCAGTTTGGACATTAAGGCATAAGGATTCTTGGTATATATGTGAACTAGTAAAATACCTTAAAGTTCGAGGCTCTAACGACCAAGGATACTCTATGATTGTGAGTCTTCCATGGATAACATCACACATGATATGTTGCCAATAGTGACACAGCAGATGTGAAGTCCTCAAGATGAGCCCTAGATGGACTACATTGCTTGGGATGCATGATTCTCATACATGGCCAGATGTGACCTTGGCTATTGGGAGACTTCACTGAAATTGTTTTATGCCGACTCACTATAATTTGGTAGAGTTTTTCTTAATATTGTATCAAAACGTTTGCAAGAGTTCAGTAACGGTACATCTGTGCAATTGAAAGTTTGTATTGGAAGTATAAGTAGTGTTCTCAAAAGTTACTTCTTGAAAAGAGTTCCAATCCATGGTCTAAAAAAGAACCCCTTGGAACGGTTTTAGGCACCTGGAAGCTGGCATTTGATGAGATTGTCTAATAAACTCATAGAAATATCTTGGGAGAATCTAGGGAATTTCTAGATGGAAACCTTGGGTTCAAGTAACGAAGAAGATACATGAGGTGGTCAAAGTATGGTGAAAGAACATATACAGAGATAAGTCCACATTAGGATCCTTATCAAGCCTTCATGGCAAGAGTTTTATTAAATAAGAAAATAATTCAATGCGAGTGTTAATTCAAGTCTTATAAAAAAGGCACCATTAACCATCAGCATCATTGTTATTGCACCTGGTGGAAGCAATTTTTTACTCCACACATGGTGTACATTCTGGTTTAGCTTAAATTCTGAAATGAAATCATAATGATTATGGTTGTTATTACATGGCGATGCCCAGGTAGCAGCTAATAACCTAAGATAAAATTGAGGAGGTCCATTACAAAAGAGACCCAAAAATTGATAGAACATATTATAAGCAACGAGAGAACCAGAATTTATCTCCAAGAGTAGTGGATTCCATTATAAAATAGAGTCAAAGTCATTACCGTAAGGATGTTATAAAAGAGCAGTAATGACAAATAAAAGAAAATCATCTTAACAGGAAACTACTTGAAAGGAAGTGTGTTTCAGTAATGTATTCAGTAAGGAAGGTAAACTCTGCATGTATTGGGAAGGCAATCCGGAATATAACTTCGATATTCAGAATGATAAATTGATTCCTATTGCACAAGGAAAGTGGGAAGCGCTAAAAATCAGCTATGCTCTATAACCACAACAACTGTGTGTTTCCAAAAATTTATGAACTTAAAAATACCTCAAAGAGGTATGTTATGAGATTCAGGCCAAGCCATATTTAGACAGGAATTTTGAAAATCCAGGAATCAAATGAGACCATTAGGACTATAGGCACTTCTGACCATGAAAACACTCGAAAGCATATCAATGCATAATCATCTCTATCACAACTTCGGTGCTCTTTATAAAAGAAATTGTTTAAATGTCTTGGCTGAAGCAGATTGATCTGCAATATCTTTAGATTAATTGGTAGATGACCGCATATGAGTGCTGTATCAGAAAAACCATATCAATTGCTTTTATTGCCTACTCAAGATATTCATGAGCAAGTGATGTTGTCAAACAACGATGCTGATTCTGGCATTGTGAAGTTGTAAATGTAATCGCTAACTACAGAGAAAGGCAACAATAAGATATAGTGGCACTGTTGAGAAATGGTAGATGAACCCAAACAGTGAGGGGAAAAAAGCAAGTACTTTTCTAGACATGCTAGATAGAATTGCTTGCAATTGTATTAGAGAGAAAGACTGCTCAAAGTATTCTTGAAATGATGTTATTAAAGGGCTTATACATAAATCCAAGCATTTAATCAAATTTTCATGATATCATATTTGTGTTGCAGGTGTGTTCTTTGGAAAAGTCAGAGTCCCGATTCTATGCAATCTAGGTTCACCAACAAAGGAGAGAAAATAAATAAATCAGTAAGAATATGCTCTTTGTGGCTTATCAACCAATTCCACAAAACCAAAACAAGATATACACTAAAGAAATTGCTTCGCACAACCCAAAACAAACTTCACATTGGATTTCATACCTTGATTGGTAACTGACATTCAGTGAAGATTTTTGGTCCTAAAGTCTCTAATCTTATCATACTGCATATCAAGCCCAAGATATTTGCTGGAGCAAAATTTCCTCTTTAAATACTTTCAAGTCAGTCTTACCATATCCATATACTTCACATTTTTCATAAAATTGCAGGTCTCTTGCTTTATGAATGGCATTTGACGCAAACTCATGGATTGGGAAAACAGAAAAGGGTTTCATCATCATCATCATCATAGCCTTCTCCCAATTAATTGGGGTTAGTTACATGAATCCTGGTCTACCATTCTATTTTATTAAAGGTCTTACCCTCAATGAGGCCATAAGTCCCGATATCTCTTCCACAACTTCCACCCAAGTCCTTTTGGGCCTACCCCTTGCCCTTTTCAGTCATTCTAATTGAACTAACTCACACCTCCTAACAAGTGTTGTACTTGGTCGACGCCACACATGGCCAACCCACCTAAGTTTACTCTCTCTCATCTTATCACCTATTTGGTGCTACACCGAAAATCTCCCGAATGGATTCAGTTCGAATTCCATCCCTTCTTGTCTTACACTCATCCATCTCAACATTCTCATCTCCGCGACACTCATTCTATGAGTATATTGTTTTTTGTCCGCTCAACATTTCGTCCCATAGAGTAAAGTTGGTCTCATAGCTGTCCTATAGAACTTGCCCTTCAGCTTCATTGGTATGTGGCGATCACATAAAATTCCAGTTGCACATCTTCACTTCGCCCACTCAGCTCTAATTTTGTGTGCAACATCTTCCTCAATCTCTCCATTTTCATGGATTTTCGACCCACGATATCGAAAGTGTGGTCTTTTTTGTACTTCCTGACCGTCAATCTTAACTACTTCCTCATCTCTACTCTTATTATTACTAAGCTTGCATTCCCTATACTATGTCCTTGTGCTGTTAATTTGAAAACCTTTGGATTCTAGAGCATCCCTCCAAAGTTCTAACTTTGTGTTGACATCATTTTAGGTCTCATCGATCGAAACTATGTCATCTGCGAACAACATGCACCACGGTACCTCATCCTGTAGGTGTCTAGTTAAGTCGTCCATAACTAAGATAAAGAGGTACGGGTTCAATGCTGACCCTTGATGTAGACCTATTGTCACTGAAAACTCACTCGTCCCTCCACTAGTTGTTCATATAAGCGCTCCATTATATGTATCTCTCACCAAGTCGATGTAGTGTCTGGAGACTCTTTTCTTTTTTAATACTTGCCAAATCAAAGCTTGAGGTACTCTATCATAAGCTTTCTTTAGATCAATAAAAGCTCATGTGGAGGTCTTTTCCCTTCACCCTAAACTTCTCAATCAATTGCCTAAGTAGCAAAATAGCCTCAGTTGTTGACCTTCCTAGCATAAAATAGAAAAGGGTTTCAAATATCCAATTATCAGTCAAAAAGTTGGAACAGATCAGAATGAAAAATCTTTACTGATATGGGTCTTATGCAATATTGCAGGTCTCTTGCTTTATGTATTTCACACAAACTCATGGTTTGGAAGCCTAGAAGAGGTTATCAAATTGGAATTTATCACTCAAAGTTGAAATGGATCAGAATGCTAAGCTTCATCTATAGTGACAATGCTTTCACATTCACTCAGTTCATTCATGAGTTCATCATATCACTCTTCTCACGAGCGTCAGAAGTATCTTTCATCATATCACTCTTCTCACGAGTACAAGGAAGTTGTTATTATTAAAAAGGGTGTTCCAAACAAGCATTGGAATTTTGCAATTTGTCAGGGAAATTTTCAAAATTAACATAATGTATGGCTTAAATGGAAGTTTTAGTTCCACATCGCCTAAAGACAACTTCTCTATGGCTTTATAAATGAGAGATTTCCTTGGCCTTTGGGGGCATAAGAGAGAGAGTCGAGGCTTTCTGAGTGCTGTCAAATTGTGTGCATACTTAACTAGTACATTTAAATGCGCTCTAGATGGCCAGGCCAAGTCGGGCCATAAACAGAAATCTGCATTGATCTGCCCCGCCAAAGCAGGCCATAGCTATCACTGTGGTTTGGGTTGGGTTAAATATTAGGACTGACGTTGAAGCTGGGCCATCTGAGGTTGAGGTTGAAGCCAGATCGGCTGTAGGTAGGTTTAGGTTTGGGCCAAAGACTATGTTTTTGCTGGCCAAACTTTTGATCAACATTTAATAAGTTCACTTTTAACAGTAGTTAGGTGTGTTTGCCTATTAAACATGTCAATCTCTTGTGACACGTGTTGACACATGATTGCTATGGGCCCTACACTATTTCAGCAGCCAATACTTATTTGCTGCTGTCAGTAAAGTTTTTCTCTATATATACCCCATTGAGAATCATTCTTCAAGTTCCTATTCTTTGCATTGCCTTTTCTCTTAACTAACAGACAACGATCTTTTGCCTCAGTTAATTGAAAATAGTTTGTGAAGTGCAATTTACCCAACCAAATTTGTTCAAACTTGTACCAAAACGAAGCTTGTCTCAAGCCAGATCCATCTAAGGGCAAATCAATACAAGAGAAAATGTTCTTCAGAACCTTTTCTGAAGTATATGACTCGGAGAAGCCTATAAAGTAGTTATATCCTAGGGGTATTCTCTTGGTGACCTCAATGCATCTTGGATTTCCCAAGTCAAGGACGTTAAATAAGGAACGGGCTCAAGGCATAGGCAGTCAGGGGGCGAGGGCGCCACAACGTGATGTTGTCTTACATTCCCTTCCTATCTCCCAAGTTAACGTTAAAAAAAAAAAAAAAAGAAGAAGAAGTAAGGGACGTTAAATACCCAAAGACAGCGGAGAGCATCTCATGCCTCTGGATCCAACAATTGAAGAAAGGAGATGTTTGATTCTCTGCAAAGTTGAAGTTGCCAACCCGGTTTAGTGTAAATAGTGGAGGGCTAAGTTTCTTTACTTTACAGTAACTGTTTTCACCTTGGTTATTCATTTCGCCCTCGGTTGTGCATTCTCACCTAGGTTATATGCATTGGTTATTCATTTCGCCCTTCGCCCTCTGTTATGCATTCTCACCTAGGTTAGATAAATTGACCATGGTTATGCGGTGTTGCTGCCCCAACGTGATTTTGAACGCATTACACTTGTAGGTTAGCCCAAAGAGAGGGGTTCCAAAAGACAAAAAATGCAATTCTGTTTAGGTAGTCAGTGGTTCCAATAAGATTTTATCTACATGGTTCAAGAATCCTGGCACTATTATGTTGTCGCATTTAATTCTTAAGCTTGAGCACATGGAATCCAATACTGGAATAACTTGTAAGCGCTATAATGGGAGCATGTGCCTCAAATACTGATAAACAAGGCCATATTTTTTTCAAAAAAAAAGAATAATTAAATGCATCAAGCATTGCCATCAAAATGATCTAAAACTGCCATTAAATCACAATGCGCAGGATAGATAATATTAAACTTCAACTCAAGGCATCAGATCGTTCCAAGTCAATGGAACATGAGATACATAAACCCCAATTGTTTATCAAAACCCATCATGCCAAAAACTCCTTTACAAAGAAATTACCTGCAAATACTCAAGTATCATTGAAACTTAGAAGTTACAGAAGAATGGGTTGAAAGAAACTAACAGAATTAAACAAAAGATGTCAAGAAACAGGTCACACTCTCTTATTCCTCTTCGCGGTTTCATGCTTTCTTACCAGTTGCATCATTGGAATTTGCAGAGATGGTGATCAGAGAAACACAGAGAGGCCTCGACGAGGAGAACGAAGAGGGCCGAAATTTACATGAAATCGAAGGGAAGGAGAGAGGAGGAGAATGGAGAATGAAGGAGGAAGAGGAAGGTGAAGAGAGAGAAAATGAAAGGGTCTTTAACTGCATGTTGGCTGCGACTCCGCGAGGCGAGGCAGAAGGTGGAGCTGATAAGGTACTTCAAATGCACACCGGTGAACACTGGAAATGGTCCCGCGGGAGTACAGAAACTTGATGCAGGTATGATTTGGACGGTGTTATCGATGAGTTTGTTGGGAAGAAAAATATTTAGATACGGTGCCCTTAAATCATCATGGCAAAATTACAAAAAAAAAAAATTCCCAAGACTATGGGGCAAAATTACAAAAACCCCCCTAAAATGAATTTTATATTTAATTTGCCCCACCCATATTTTTTATCACACTTTTTTCTTCCAGAAAACCTTTCATCGCAAAATACCCCCATGAAAAAAAGTTTAGAATATTTGGACAGAAATACCCTTCCCGTACAAACCAAATCGATCCGCAGAACCCAAGTAACATAGTGCCGAAGCATAGTATAACAATGCCGGAGTGAAATATCAAGCCACACTGCTAGAGCGCGGTGCCATATTATCGGAGCGCTGCGGCACCAGGGACTCCATTGCCGGAGCTGACTGCCGGAGCCAACTGCCGGAGCGATGTTCAAACATTGTTGGCTTGGTGTCATTAACTACTGCCGAAATAAATAGAATGAATGCCGGAGCGAGTACCGTACTGCCGGAGTGCAGTCATCCATCGGGGGAGCGTTGTGGCTCCAGAAATACCATTGTCGGAGCGTGGTCCACCATAGCCAGAGCGTTGTGGCTCTAGAAGCTCCATTGCCAGAGAGTGGTCCACCATAGCCGAAGCACTGTGGCTCTAGAAGCTCCATTGTCGGAGCGTGGTCCACCTTAGCCGGAGTGTTGTGGCTCTAGAAGTTCCATTTTCGGACATGGTCCACCAAAGCTGGAGCGTTGTGGCTCCAGAAGCTCCATTGCCGGAGCGTAGTCCACCATCGCCCGGAGTGCTGTGGCTCCAGAATGTTCACTGCCGGAGGTCTAATGCCGGAGCGTTGTCACGCATCGCCAGAGTGTTGCGGCTCCAGAAGCTCCATTGTCGGAACATGGTCCTTCAACGCTGGAGTGCCAAAAGTCCAGAAGGTTAGCTGCCAGAGCGCATTGCCTGAGCGTGGTCCTTCAACGTCGGAGGGCCAAAGTTTAGAAGGTTAGCTGTCGGAGTGCCAAAGTCTAGCAAGTTAGCTATCGGAGCGCGTACACCATTTGTCGGTGTGCTTGGCGACGCTGCCGGAGCGCGTGGTGGCATTGCCGGAGAGTTTGGAGGCAATGCCAAAGCATGTGGGACGCTGCCGGAGCCAATTTAGATGCTGCCAGAGCCAATGTTGATGATGCCAGAGCCAATGTTGACGTTGTCGGAGCGTGTGGTGACACTGCCGGAGCCTATCGTGGTGTTGCTGAAGTGTGTGGCGGCACTGCCAGAGTGCATTTTATATACCAGATTTTTTTTTTACAAATTCCACAATTGTAAAGTACCATGAATTATTAAGTTATTGCAAATCACTGTTATTTTCTAAAATGGTTCTTCTATCTTGCCACAGTTATCGAACCAAAGATACATCAAGTAAATACACCAAAAATTTGAACTTAGGTCTCATACTTAAGCTTCAACTCCGAAGCAATATATTTTAAACTCTCAAGCAATATAATAAGAGCTTCCAAAACATAGCTTAAGGTCACAATATATTTGCATTCCTCACAAGATAAACACATCAAACTCGGAGTACGGTAACTGACACTAATTTTAAGTCAAAATCCTTAAGATAAAATAACATACCTGCAAATAGAGAAGAAGATAGACACATTTCTTCATGGGCGAGTATAGTAACTCACACATCAAACTCGGAGTACAGTATCCAGGCACATTGCTTCATGGGCTTGCCCCATAAATGAGATTCACTAACTTAACAGAAACAGGGGTGACAAATGCATAGGTTCACTTGATGAGAACGATGCATGCAAATCCATAAATATATGAAATCACGGAGCCCAATGTCTATAAACCATAGAACACAAAAGTTACCATTTGCATGATGCCTTAATCAAGATAATCAACATAAATGAACACGAAGAGTAAATTTTGAGGGAATAAAAGAACTTAAAGAGGAAAATAAGATCAGAGTAGACAAGATCAAATCGAAAAGAACTCGCATCATATAACCAAATTACATTGTCAAAAAAATACACAATCTCGAACATGATGACTTTCTCATAATTGAAAAGGTAGATATAACATTTGTTTCAAATACACATATCCAAGAAAAAAAAAAAGGTCATTTTCTCCACCTCAATGCCTTTATTGGCCAACTAAGAACACTCGTTCCCCTCACATCATGTTCCTTGTCGGCATTCCCATCTGTTCGCGACCGTAAATTCCACCTTGATTCCTCTTGCAACGCTAGCGCCTGAAAGTGATCAGATTTTTTCTTTGTTCTTCTCTCGTCATCCTCTTCTCCATCATCTCCTATTCTGCCTCATCATCCTCTTCTCCATCATCATCCTCTTCTCCGTCATCATCTTCTTCTTCGTCATCATCATCTTCTTCTCCATCATCATCGTCTTCTTCTCTTTCACTTTCACTTTGCACATCTCCACCCATAGTCCGTGTTGTTTCCTCGGCGCCTATCTCTACAGAAGTACTATTCAATAGCAAATCATGAGCCGCTTGTATATAATACCTGGATTTCCCGGCTAATACTTCATTATTAAGTGTAGCTTGGAGCAACTCTATATATGTATGTCGTTGCAAGTATAGAATGAACAAAAAACAAAATTGACCATGAGACGTATTTTTCATAATTTTAAGATATAGTAAGACTATAAAATAAGATTAAACATATAATAAATAGTATACCAATTTCCTGCTGAGGGTTGTACATGAGATTAGCTTGCAGAAGTTCGTACATGAGATTGCGACTGCGACAAAGGGAGCAATGGGGTTTTTCTTTATTGCGTCAACATGTTGTACCAGGCCATGTACTCTACTGTAGGTACTCCACCAGATTTATCTACGGCTGCCTTAACCACATGACGTTCTTGTGCTTTCCAATTTTTTATCTGCCTACCAAATTCTACAGTCCAATATGTGGGGTGCATATTGACCTTCTCTCTCTTATCCCACTTGGGTGGCATACCAGGAATACCTTGCAACTTTCTAAATTATCGTATCATGCGATCTGGCATATAGTACTCTGCAATATTGAAACTGATGAGGTATGATCGACAGATGTAATACTCTGCAATTTCATGCGACTCCTCACATAGTTGCCAAGTCACCTAAAAAAATAATCATGAGACGTTATCAAATATCTAACCACAAATTGATTGTCTACTAGATTATAAACACATAAGCCAATAACTAACCATATCAAACGAGATGTTATCAAATGAGATGTTTTTGTGGCGTGTTTGTTTCTTCCACATGCAAGCCTTAGGCATTCCTGGGCTTATGACCAATGTAGGCTTGGTGGCTAGAGCTTGAAAATGCTCATAGATCTAACACTATAGAAGAAGTAAAAAGTAAGAAGCCAAAGATAGTGAGAAATTGTGATATTCTAAAATTAAACTATAAAGAGAGTGAGAAATACCTGTAGTAAGGTCGCTGACCCACTAAAATGATTATTTTCCCCACCGGCAACCTTAGACAACGAACGATATAAAAAAGCAAGTGCCGTAGCACCCCATGCATACTTCCCTGCCTCGTCAAAATCTCAAAACAATTACAAGTATATTGATAGCGTCGATCCTTTAGATGAGTAAGCAAATATAGTTGTGCCAACTAAATAAAGGAGATATGCTTGTGTGTGTTGCGTTATTTGTAATTTGGTTGACTTTTTTGGTAGTTGGGCGAATCGACTCCTCAACCATATATGTTTGACATGCATCGGGGTGACGTCTTTGGGACAATCTCCCAGATACTCCTTGACGAACGCAACATAGTCTTCAAGCCTGATGCCGGTTACAGGCTCACCTGTCACGGGTATCCTTAATATCTGCCAAACATCGCATAGGGTTGGAGCCATTTCTCCAACGCTTAGAAATGCAGTATTCGTGTCCTTGCACCATTTCCCAATAAATGCCCTCACTAGATTGCAATCGATATGCGATACCCCAATATCCATCAATGGGCTCAACCTTGTCTTTTGAATTAGAGGTATCTATCGTTGATCGATCTTCCATTTTACTAAGGCTTGAGTTGATTTGTCAACAAGAAGTACATTTCTCTCCTAAAATGAATAATAACAAGAAATTGCAAGCTAATAACATGAGCAATACCTAATCAATGTAAATCATTCACTAAAACAAATAGACCATCATACCTCTTGCCTTTGAGCTAATGAAGAGGATGGCTCCCCTATGCCTCTTAGTTATTTCGGGTCTTGCATTGCTAATTATATTTTCATAATTGATATAAAAAAATACCCAGAAGCAGCATATCCAATAGAAAAAGAGATACAACAATTGCATATCTAATAAATGAATTTCAAATATATGTGCAATGCGACAAATTTGGATATAGAAAACTTAAGAAAGAAAATGGGTTAGCAATGTACAAATGGAAATGAAGAAATAATCAAAAGTAATGGAGCTAAGCCTAACATAAGAGTGGTAAGATGAATATAACAATGTACAAATCAAAACATAGTTTCTATAATGTTAATATACATGCAAATGGTAGGCTTCAAACCCACTGAAACAATCTTACAATAGAGTTACAAATTAAGCAAGGGGAAACACTTGAAAAAGAGATGAGTCGTACTCATGAGAAAAGAGAAAGCACAAATCAGTAGCATATCCAATAAAAAAGAGAGAGAAAAATAGCATATCCAATATATGTACCAGGAAAAATATATGTATTGACAAAATTTCCCACAAGTGAGTGCTACAATTTAAAAAGACAGAACAAAGAACATAGCTAAAACAAATGCCTTCAAGTGGGTGCATTACAAGTTGCCATGTTGTGACCAGTTCCTTTGCACCTATTACAGTGAATAGGTCGTATTGGTACTTCCTGTGACTCGATGCGCTTCTTTTTAGGTTGGTCAAGGGGCCATCTTGAGTGAGGTGGCAGTACTCTTATTCCATCTGGAGGAAGTTGTCCATGCACACGCCCAAATAGATCGATCAAGGTAACTAGCATGATAGGAGAGGAATATGTTTCAAG